CATTTAATATGGCACCCACGTGACAGCCTGGCTTAGTGGGTAGCACTCTCGTTTCTGGGTCAGAAGGTTGTGGGCTCAAGCCACCCCGCACATTGGGACTTGAACTCACATAGTTTTCCAAAGTGACGCTCTAATTCATTGCTGGAGGTGCCGTCCTTCAGACGAGACGTTAAACCGAGGTTCGGTCTGCCTGTTCCAAGTGGATGTTAAAGATCCCCTTGCGCTATTCAAAAAGAGAAGGAAATTTCTCTCCCGGTGTCCTGACCAACAATCCCCCAAATAAAATTTGGTCATTTGTTTTATGGCTGGGTGTTACAGCACCTTTCACATCGCTTCATATGATTCACTGCAAAGTGAAGGTACTAAGTATCGGTGGGCAACGCAGAAACCGGTTTGTACACAGTAAATGTATTCCATTGAAAAGGGTAAACAAAAACGAAGCCCCAGTGTCCAGCACAGTCTAGGAGATGAACATGGGGAGGAGTGTGAGAGAGGAGGGTGTGGCAGGTTTTATAGAGGAACCTTGACACTTTGCTGGAGAGAAACACTATACACTAGTGATGCCAGGAGCTTATGCTGCATTTAATTTAAATTCACATCTGTCGCTCATTCTATCCATGGGTTTATTTAACGCTGTATTTAAATTACAGAAACAACTTCAGATCCAAATGGTTCTGTAATAACCTGACATAGGCTGTGAGGAATCCAGTCCGCACTCCACTGTCCATTTGGGAGGGAACTGGCGACATGCCATAGATGGGTCATTCTGCAGAGTGGAGATGCCGAACTGGTACAATAGAGGGCGCTCTTCTAAGGTGTGGTTTAAAGGAGCATTTTGCAGGATAAGATCTCTTGATTGATGATGTCTTTACAACCATTCACCCCAAATCCGAATACGGTATGAGCCTGGCTGCATTTAGGGCAATTTGGGGGGAAAAAATGTTCATCTCTTATTGCAAATAAAAGATATAGCTCTCCCTGACTCATCTGCACAATGCTCCACTTGGTCATGCTGACCAGAAGGTTCCAATCAGTCTGTACTGTCACTGATCTCAGGGCTAACATTGGTCTGGTGTATATTATTGGGGGGAGGTGTATATCAATGAGAGGGGCATGTATATTAATGGGGGGGGGGGGGTGGTATATATCTGTGAGAGGGGTAGTGCACATTCAGCCAGTGGTATATAAATACTTTTTTTTAAATGAATAAGATAATTAACACAACATTTTGTATTGGGAGTGAAGAGCATGGTGTTGCCCGGGTGGTGTGTGTGTTTTTTTTTGGGGGGGAGAGGGTGGGGAGATTGTCCAGCAATTAAGTTGAAGACACACTGGCTGAAGTTGCGTTGGACAAGTAAGTGTTTGAAAAGCCATCGATCAGTTTCCTTTGTCAATTACTTTCCCAGTGACTCTTTGAGCTCGGGGGTTCAATTGCTCTGCTCATTGCGTCTGAAGTGCTTATCCCTTTATCTACGGTGAGGTTAGGGATCTTGGGGATTTGGAAAAACACACACACCAGAAAATGAAAGCTTTAGGTGTGTAATGTTTTATCCAAACTGTACTCTTCCTACCCCCACCCTCCCCAGTGTCGCCATATATAGCCAGACAGTAGTAATTTTCAACTAATTATCCCCCCCTCCAAAAAAAGAAAAAAAATCAGGATAATTTAGCAGTAATGAGAGAAGACAGAAACCCAGTTGTCAGTTCACCCCTGGGGCTCGATAGAAAGGAGTCTTCTGAACCCAAAGAGATACAATTAAAAGTGTAAAACAGCAGCCTTTGATGTTGCCTTGCAAGTGAAGTGAGTGCTGGTCAAGGAAGCTTTCTGACCAGTAACTTGGTTACAGACCGTTAATAAGATGACTTTGAAGGGAAGGACTCGGGGAGTTCTGCTAATCTGCCAATGTAAAATGCTAATACTATTTGCTCCCAGAAGTGCCCAAACTTTAAAGGTCACACAGGATGGCAGCTGTTCCAAACCAACCCGAACCAATAAACCTATATTAATTAACAGAATGATCAGTTGTGAGTTTTTTTTGATTCCAAAGCCAATTGTTTTATCGTCAAATTAATTTTTTCCTTAAAAAAAACTTCTTCTTTGTGATCACCCGTTGTTCTAAAACCTCACCTCCTCCCGAGCAAGTGCTCATTCCAAACATTGGCCTCTCTTGGTTGAGATGTTAGGAGGGACATCACCATAGCATTTTCTCCCTCCTTTTCTTAGGAGTTCCTGCATCCTGTCCCCAAAGGCTTCTTTTCTGCCCCTGATATTTGGGTGAAACCAGAGAGGAACCCAAAGAGGCTTATATGTACATACAATAAGCCTGTATAAAGACCTTAGTGATCACAATTCTTCCATTTAACCTCAAAACTTCTCAAAGACATTCACAGGGAATCCACTAACTGCAGTATAGTGCAGGCAAACACAACAGCTAATATAAACAACTATGAAGTGAATCACTGATTAATCTGGTCTCTTTTCGATTAGTGCTATAGAATGGTTATCCTCCACATGAAGAGGCAGCCCGGACCTCAGTTGAATGCCTTATAATGTGAAAGATGGCACCTTTGGCATTGCAACATCAACTACAACTACAACAAATCGGCACTGGAGTGTGTTATGAGCTCAAGTCTCACCCTGAGGCTTGAACCCACAACTTTCTGACGCAGCGGGTAGAATGCTAGCGACTGGGCCAAATTGACACAAGATACAAAGGGCAACACAGAGTCGACACAGAACCAGCCGTTCATTCTAATTACTTTCGGTGAGAGTTGGCAATGGGGGTGGTGAGTGATGGGATGAGACTTAGTCCTCACTGAAGTAGAGAAACATAAACAGGAAAAGGAGGCCATTCAACTCATCGTGCTTGTTCCACTAGTTTTAGATAATGCAGTTCTTTTTAACTCGATGCCCTGCCCTTTTGCCATACACTTTAATACCTCTACGTAACACCCAAGTATCTGTCTATAATAGCTTAGATTCCTATTACTACAGCTTATATAGAGCCTCTCCCATAGTGCTTCACAATGATGGGAATCACTCACTTAGGAGGAAGGGAATTTGAGGGTGTGGACCAAAGGCAGTTCAAAAAGGTCATAACAGGGTTTGGAAGAAAGGGAGAGGTGGATTGAGGCAAGATGAGGAATTGGAGGCCAGAGTCCCAGAGAGATGGTGCCTCAGCTACCGATGATGGGATGAAGGAAGTGAGGAATGAGCAGGATCAGAAATGGTGGGGCAGAGGACCCGGGTGGGAAAATAGAACTGGAGGAGACTTGTGTGGGCGTTGGTGAGGACAGAAACAAGCTCAACTTAAATTCACGGTGGTCAACTAAGCGAAGGCTCACTCTCAGGGCTCACAGATAACAATGCAACTTCAACAAGGAATGATTGTGGAACTGGACCCTAAAGAAAGAAGATGAGTCAATGTCTTTAGGAGGGACACAAATTGTGTGATAAAAAAAGTGTGTTGGGAACGTCCACATGAGTAATTGCTGACTCCCAAGGAAAGCTTGGAGCCCTGAAACCTCCCTACCCATTAGCCTTCAGCTGCAAGATGGTGATTGATGCCGACCGAATAACCGTGCTTCCCCTGGTGAGAGCAGGCAAACCTGGCTTCTATGACAAAGACTCCCTTTCTGTCTGTTTGTCTTTCTCACATTTCCGGTAGAAGATCAAGGGCCAACTGATTACCTACTCTGTCTGTGACGCTTCCCGAGGCCCTGCCAGGGAGATATAACCATCGCCATTGTTCCCTCAATGCTTCTTGTATTCTGCTGCCACTTTTACAGTAGTTTGTCTCTGAAGGCAACAAGTAACGTATCATGGCCGGGTTGCCTCACTCCAGATCTGACTTGGGAGTTGGATCAGCTGTTTGCTTGGGAGTGAGTTCTGAAATAAAACTCCAGAGGCGAGTCCCTGTTTAGTGACTCCTTTGGAAAACTGGCTTTTTCAGGGATGGTAAAATCTCAGGAGCTCTAAACGGTGGAGCTGCCTCCTCTTTCACACTACATTTCTGGCCTCCAAGTCAGTGATACACATGGGCTGTTTCTTTCTTGCTGGTTTCTCAGCACACATCCCAATAGGCTGAGGATACAAGCTTCCCAGTTTAGATGGAGTCTCAGGGCTCATGTACGGCTGAGTGACAGTGTTTATACTGTTGATCCAGGTGCCCAGAAACTGATGAAAAATAGGCAGCCGTGTTGACTGCCAATACTTAGCTTTTTCAGTAAACAATGAGCTATATGGATTTCAAATGGGGGGGGGGGGGGGCGGGGTTCCTGAGGCTGCCAAACTGAATCCAGCAACAGGGAACAGAGTTTGAATGTGGAACCACCTGGTGTGCAGGATCCTAATCATCGGAACTTGTGTTCACCATCACATGGTTCATTTCAAATACAAATAGTGTCAATTTTATATCTGCATAAGTCTTTTTTCCCTTTTTCTTCTCCCTTTAAGGTGCTGACTCCCACTGATTAGACGTTCTTCCCCCTAAAGAGACGAAGGGGGGGGGGGGGGGGAGTTACAAGAGGTGATTGGTTCCGAAACTTAGCCAGCAGCAGTTACAGGGGACTGGAGCTCAGGAAAGAGCAGAGCATGAGACTCTGATAGACTGAGAGGGGAAGGGAGAGGCTGGGAGGTGCTGGGAGAGGCTGCAGACCATATGGAATGAGCAGAACAGGATCGTTTGATAGTTTTATGAATCCCGAGTTTTTATTAAAAGAAGTTATTGTGGAATTCGCTGATTGAAAAATAGAAATATTAAAGGCTATGTTGAGTGAACAGGAGAATTTGGATCAGATCAGGAGGCCAGAAATTCAACATAGGGATAGGATAGGCAGGTGGTTTAACTCCAGCAGCTGGAATGATCAGCCCAATAAAACAGCCTTTCTGAAAGACCTACTGCCAGTAGTTTTTTTTAAAAAAGGCAGATTATTCAGACAATGCTTGAACGTCAAAATCGGTTTGATTACGGAATATCACTCCAACCTTAAAACACGGATAAAAGAAACATGAATAAAATATTTTAATGAGATGTTAGTATATCAAAATCATAACAATGTAAAAAATAAAATGCGCACCACACGATTTATAGCCTGAGCCCTGATTGTTTTTGTGAGGTCACCAACAGAAAAAAAAGCCATCTTTAAATATTAGGAAAATATTGACAATGATAAGTACAGATGCTCAGCTTATTAATATGGTTGATATATATTAAAAAACAGTGCAAATGTTTCTGAAGAAAAGAAATTAAAAAGATTTTTTTTCCAAAAAAAGTTAAAATCCTGATTAAAATCCAAATCCTGTGTGGGTTAGACATGTGCAGGGATGGAAGAGTGGCTTTATAACCTTTCACAACAGGAAGATCACTGCTATTCGCTGGGATCTCACAGCCTCGCTGTAACACACGTGCCTTACACGCACAGCAGCTACGCAGGTCCATCGCAGTGCCACATTTACTGACATTTTGGGGTCAGGAAAACCATCCGCTGGTTACCTGGAATGTAAAGACACAATGAGAGATAACAATTAATGGTTTGAACATTTCTGAGGATTAGAAATAAGACTTAATGGAGAGAATTTAAATAAGAAATGCGGGGGGAGGGGTCCCGCTGTACAAACCCACAGAAGCCGTGTGCTGCGGGTCTTGATTACATTACACTCACCTCCTGTTCCGATAGCTGGTCACTTCCTCCTGCAGAATCGACGCTCGCTTTTGAAGAAAATTCACCTGCAGGTGAAAAATCACAACGTGAAAGCCTTTAGTTCGTTCAGCTGCGCCTTTAACAAAGTCAGATGCACAAGTCCTTCCAGAAAAGATCGCCCGCACTAAGGTGCAAATCACTGGCTCACAGAGGGGTTCGGATGAAGAACGTGCTTTAGCCCATTGGATGTCACAATTCCAGAATACCCACTCTACCGTCTTACTCTTTACACAGCATCAAGCTGTTTACTGAAATGACTCCAGCATTGTGGCCTCAACTACCCTTCCCAGTAGCATCTTGCAGCCGTTAACCTCTCTCAGTGATGGTGGATGGGTGGGGGGGGGGGGGGGGGGAGAACAAACTCATTTGTTTGCCAGTTGTTAAACAGGCAGAACTGCTAAGCCAGCGGTCAGAGTGGTGTGAATAAAAGACCCAAACAGGTACGGTTGCCCATTCTTTGCCCAGATCAGCGCGAGCGCGGTGAGTGTGGAGCTAATCTGCTGACGAAATCTTGGCTTTCCAGTTCTTGCCGTGCTCCAGCTTTTCCTGTTAAACATATCTTAAATCCTTCTACAGATGCCTGACCCAGAACAGTGCTGTCACCGTTACTCTATGTAGCATTTCCACACAGAACAGGCACTTTAAGGCATGGGTAAGGCAGGAAAGTAATCGGAGCGACAGCAGGAAAGACCATATGGAGGGAACAGATAGTGGTTTTAAAAAAATCCCATTTTTTCCAGGTTATTTTCTCTCCTTTATGCCCCATCCCCCAATGCCTGCCAGCATTTGTCTGACAAGAGGGTGAACAACTCCTAGGACTCGAACCACTCGTGCTTTGCAAATGCCGGAGGATTCGACAAGAGATCGGACGGGGAAAGAGGGACAGAATATCCATGAGGGAATCGTGGCTGAATCCCAGTGCAGCATAATATATACAATAAATAATAATCCCTGCATTTGATACAACGCCTCTCATGTTGAACTGTCTCAAAATGCTTCACAGGCAATTGCTGTTAAGTGTCGTGACTGTGTAGTTATTGGTATATAAATACAGTAGCTATTTCGCCTGCAGCAAGACTCCACAAGAGCCATGAAGCGAATGACCAATTTATTGGGAGGATTGTTGGCTAGGACACCATGAGGAACTGTCTCTTCTCCAATGGTGATATATTTTGGCTTGTGGGCGAGTCAGTAACCTGAGACAAATTTAACATACTTTTAAGATAATTATCCAAAAAAAACTAAGGGAGAAGCTAGATTTTCTCCACGCACACAGAGTGCAAGTGTTCCGGGATGCTACTCCACGACAAGGCACTATATAAATGCAAGTTGTTGTTAAAATGTTGCATGCTCAATGAAAAACATGACTTAAGTAGAATCCAGCTTTTAAAAGGAAATAAGACAAAATACAAAAGGATATGGGGTAAGAGAGAAAGCGGGATTGAATGGATAGCATTTCCAGAAAGTTGGCCTGGGGACGATGGGCCAAAGGGCCTTCTCCTGGGTTTAAATTCTATAATTTTTAAATTGCCCAGAATAAACATTGCGTGCAACAAACTGGCACTCCCAAGCACTGCACAAACCCACACACAAAGTCCCCGCATTAAGACATCTGGCTATTCTGCATGCATTCAAACAGGTAAGAAGAACAACAAAAAATTACAGTTGTAAAGCGCCTTTCACGCTGAACAGTCGTGGAACAGGACCCGAGCGTGGAGGGGCAGAGTTGTGATGAGGGAGGGCAGAGAGGTAGGAAGGTGGCTGAAGGCAGGGTCAAAAAGGAGGGTCTTGAGTCGTACCTTGAAGGAGACAAGCGACAGAGCAAGAAAAGAGTGTGGGTGAAAGTCGAGGAGTGGCAGATCAAAAGAGAGTTCACCTCCTGGTGAATGATCTACGAGATCGCTGCAATGTACCTGAGACTTTAAAGAAGCGATGGTGTCTTCCAACTCCTGCCGTACTATAGCTGGCATCAGACCCTTCATTTTCAGCTGGTATTCCTGCTGGATGTGAACGATCTGCAAAAGTGGAGAGTAAAGACATTCACATTTCTTTTAAGCATGTCATCCGTTACTCTTTTGCACTGAAGCTGGTAGATAATAAGCATATCAGAAGCTCCAGTCTCCTGAAGAAGTTAGGCCTTCTATTGTTATATATAAAAAATTATCCTTGCAACTGTAAATCATAACATCTCAAAGCGCTTTACGGGGCATGTGAAGTAGATTGCCTGTGCATTTGTAGGCGAATGTGGTGAACATTTTGTGCCTTGAACCTGTGATAATACAAAATACAATACAAAATCACATTTGTATAGCACCTTTCACGTCGGGAGTATGTTCCGAGGCGCTGAACAGTTTGGACCCGAGCAGGAGCGGGTGGGGGGGATGCAGGTCTCTTCCCTCACCCCAGCCAGCCTGGACTCCTGTGAGTTCAAGATCTGACATGGGATTTGAAGCCACAACCTCTTGACCCAGAAACAAGAGCACTACCAACCGAGCCAGGTTGTCACCATAAAAAGAGCCAAAGCCCAAAGTAATTTGGATTTTAAGATGGTTTATTTCATTTCAGCCGGTGTTTTGGTTCACTGAACCAAAAAAAGGACGTGGACATATATCGCAAATATCCTGTGGCGTCTAAACTGTGCAATTGATATCATTCAGTGGCAGGACTCCCAGTGTCAGCAGCAGCCCCACCGGTCACCAGGGACCAGTAATTGACAAAGGTGCAGACTAACAGCTACAGCTCTGCCAACATGATAAGAAATCAAATGTGTACTCAGTGTGCTGTGTACACAGGCAGCTGCTCTTCCCAGCAGCTTGTAGAGAGTCTGTGTAACAAACCATATGTGCGATTCCCAGCCAGCACTGGGGATGGAGGTAACTACTCCACTGTTAAACAGGTGTCCTGATCTGTGCAGGGTTTTCTCTTTATTCTTTACCTGGACACCCAGCCAGACATGCTGCTGTATCCACTACCCACAAACACACACTGAGTGCCCGTTTCTTGACGTAATAATATCTAATAATAATCCTAGGATTTGATATAGCACCTTATCACGCAGTTGAGACGTCTCAAAGTGCTTCACCGAATATACTATAACGTGAATTGAATGTGTATTTTGTGGGCGAACCATGGCAACCAATTGCACACAGCAGTGTCCCCCAAACAGTCGTGGATTGAAGTGACCAATTTATTATTATTTTTTTTTTGAAGGAATTATTACCCCTGGAAAGCGATCAGCCAATCAACTAACAACCAGGTTCCTACTTACTGCTAGGTAAACAGAGGCGTGCGGAGTAAGAAAACTTGAGGTTTCGCCCTGTCCGGGAATCGAACCTGGGTCCATTCGCTTGTGAGGCGAGTGCGCTAACCAACACGGTACAGGACTCCACTAAAGTGATGCAAGGTAAGAATGACTCAGCTGTGGGGCACAGAGAGAGCCAACCTCGGGTAACAAAGACGTCAAGATCAAGAGAACAAAGATGAGGCGCCCGCATTACACAAACCTAGAAAAAAAATCCAGTTATTTCCTGAATTTGTTTCAAGTTATTTAAAAACTTCTAAAACCTCAAAACACATCAGGTATTTTCCATTGGGTTAATGAGACACTGAGTTGATGTTGACGTGATAGTAAATGCTTTGTAGTTATTCCAGATAAACTATTGTAAACCGTGTTCACTGAGGGTGATCAATGACAAGGCCACACAGCATCATGTCAAAAGGCAGTCGGTCATTGCTTGCAGGAAATGCTGAGGTTTTTAAATCAGCTTGTGAATCTCCCCTGCTGATTGCAGGACAGCACATCTCGGTTCAAATGTTCTTCTGTGGATTGTTTTCTGTCAAAGCAAAAAATCCTCTTGGACCGAGACTGGAGAGACTCCCTTCTCTTTTCAAATACCATCTCTGGTTCTTTAATGTCCACTGATACAGATAGATGGGACCTGGGATTAGTACCTCCAGGGCAGTACAACCCCAGTACACTGCTCCACGTGAAGGACCCTCCATAAATGCGAGCTGTTGTTGTAGTGTCAGTGGCCTCTATTTGCTTACACTAGGAAATCCCATTATAAGAAGATGGTTATTCTTAGCATTCATCACCTGATACCCCTCGTGACCTTGTATTTAAAACACGAACGAAACCATTAATGTCTTATTCTCATAGTATTTCAGGGAATTGAATTCCCAGAAATGGACTGTAAAATGCTCGTCATTCCTCCTGTTATTTCCTCAATGTCTTTGAGGCTGCTTAACCACACGCTCCCTCATGCCTCCCTCCCTCCCTGTCAGCAGGCTGCACGCTGTTTAAACCCCTTCACTGCAGCATCGCGTTTGAAGTCCAAAGCTTACAGATCCCATTTTCATCCATCAAAACCTAAACTTCAAAAACCTGATGGGTAAAATAATATAATATTCCAGTGTGATAAGAAGCCACACGCCAAGCAGGCACACAGCTTTCTGATTTGTTTTGAACACAGTTAAAAAAAAATCCGCCACAGAAGCTGATTGTATCATCAGTTTTGGCTTCAAAAGATCTCCCCCTTTCCCAGCCCTCACCCCCACCCACCCACCGACCCACCCACTTTGCCTTTGTGGTTCTCTCCGACTTTCGTGGCTTTGCCCAGCGGAGCTGTCATTGCATTTATCCCCTGAGCCATCGAAGGAGCTTTCATCATAATTTTGTCTAAATGTAAGTTGCTGTGATGCTCACGAGAACTGTGGCATTGGGCATTGGTACTTCCACCCACTATTGAATGGTAGGAACTGAGCGAACATCCATACTTCCTGTATGGTGGGTTCATGACTTTGACTGAGCCAACGTGTGGGCAACAGCCTCCCCTCAGGGAAAGCAGACCAGAGAGAAGCTTCCCTGCAGACCCTGCTTGGTAACAAGTGCTAATCCATACAAGGTGGAATCGAATCAATCTCCCATTTCCCAATCACTGTGTTGTAGTGGAGGTTATGATTATAGAATGCTATGACCGATTTTGAAGCCCACAACCAAAGTTGAGCAGCTGGAACCTAATCAATATAACATTACATCAAATATAGAGCTTCCTTAGAATTTTCCTTTCACTTCTCCCTGTATTTCTTTCAATTAGTCTCCTTTTAACTTTTGGTTTTGCTGGTTAGATGGAGCCTAGCTTCCACTTCAAGTTTTTTAAATGCCTTTTCGCATTTCAGCTTTTTAATTGACTTCCTTTGAACTCTTGTTCAAACGCGCTCTGCGTCTTCTCTTTTGTTCAAGGCTCTTTTTCTCTCTGTTCCTTTTCTCTGCGCCTGTGACATGACTGATGGTTGCTCACCATTCTTTCTTTTAAATGAACCATTTTCCAAAACTCATCTGTAAATCTCCCTTCTACAATTGTTCTCTCGTTCGCTCAGAATTGAGGTTTGACTCCCTGGATTTTAACATATATTCGCCCTTTCTCTTTGCCTTCTTGGGAGACACACTATCGCTGCTCAAAAGGTTGGGCAGATGCTTTGCTCTCAAGCCTCTATCAATACAATCTCAGACCAAACATTAGGGGTTGTGAGAATGGCCTTGGTGCTCATCATTTGAACCTCCCCTATCCCTGTAAGGAAGTATCCTGGATTCAACACAGGTGAGATTAGCGACCGAGAGTGACGGGTGGACATACCACCCAAACACCTTAAACAAGACTTTGGTTCTCACTGTCCTTTCCCTAGTGACCTCTGTTTCTGAGGGTACAGAGGGCAATATCTCTCTAGCATTCTCCTCAATATTCCCAGGTCTTTTACTCCTCAACCTCTGCCACCACTCCTATAAACTGTTTGTCAGCACTGATAGAAACACTGTTTGTGTGTGTGTGCCCAGAAAAGGAGTGGTGTGTGGATGAGGGATGTGTGTACGTGGATAGTGAAGGTGTATGTATATGTGTATATGCACGAGCGTGTATGTGGTGGGGGCACATCAAGCCTTTAATTGCTCTGGTCATTGAGATTTTAAAATTGCTTTTAGCTCCTGCAAAATCACACCATTCCTAACTAGCAAAGGCATTTTTTAATGTATCCCAATCCTCCCTATTAGGTCCTGTTAAAGCTGCTGCTTAGTGTAGACGGTGTGGCTCAGCTGCTTCCGTCGTTGCAATCCTCAATCACATTTCAAAGCACCTTCAGCCAGTCAGAATCACATTATACTTCTACAGGATCAAATATCCCTCTGATGCTCTCCGTGCTTCCAAGTAAATAATTCATTAAAAAAAGCAGATACTTTGTGAAGAGGCAGGAGAAAGCATTCTGTAGCTGCTCAAAGATTTCCTTGCTCTGGACTAGTGCAGACAGTTTTGTTCATTTTTCCTGTAATTCCCACCCGCACACACAAACACACAATACCCCACACCCATTTCTGTCTCCCTACGCCTGAAATTCTACGTAGTCTTAGCTTGTAAGATTATTTTGCGTTAAAATTTAGGATTTCACAGAGCGGTGAAAAACTTAAGCTTGAATTTTTTAACGTTTTCTTTTCAAGAACAACAAGAAAATTATATTTTTATAGCACCTTTCATGATGGGAGGACATCCCAAGACGCTGGATAGTCAGTGTTTCGGACCCAAATTGGGGGCGCGGGATTGGGGAGGGTGAAGGCCAGGGGCGGAAGGAGGGCGATCAAAGGCATGGCCGAAGAGAAGGGTCTTAAGATGCGTCTTGAAGGAGACAAGGGAGGGGGCGAGGCGGAGGGACTGCGGAAAATGACTTCCAAATTTGGAATGAATTTAAGAACTTGACACTGATTTGTGAGATATGACATTTTAGACAAAATGTTCTTATAAACAAAGCCTTTTCTCTCTCTCTCTCTGCTCCAAGCTGGAATCAATTTCTTCCCCTTGGTCTCTGCCTGTGGCCAGCAGCCACCTACTGCACACACCACACAAGACCACGATTCACTGCCCTCTTCAACATTGTCCTGGCCAACATTTCCACCCGATTTATCGGTTCTTCATATGTGGCTGCTGCTGCTTTTGTCTACAAACACACAGTCACTACACTTGACATCAATTACTTGCAAAACTCTTTGGAGATTTTGCAACACAATAGACATTGTATCAAATGATTCATCTGCACCCATTCCTATCCTGTGAGCAGGCTGGTTTCTCAGTGGTTTCTTATTAGTTAGTCCGAAACATATTCCACTACAGAGGCTTTTGGAAGGAGTCTGCTGCAGAACGGAGTCATAATATTACAGGTTAGCACAATCAAGGTCACACACACATAATAATCATCCCTGGCTGGACTTCACTGTTGCGCTCAGAGCATCAAGATTGGCTGGAATTCCAGAAGCTGAGATACTGGGACACTTCAAAACAGAATTGAAAAAATTAAAAAAAAAATTAGGCTCTGCTTAATCAAACTTTTTTATTATTATTTTGTTAAAAGTGGCTTAATTTCTCATTGTATTCCTTTGGTGCCTGTGAGTTTGTCATATTAAATGTCATGGTTTTGACTAATACAACTGCTAAAAGTTTTACTGTGATTGTACCTCAAGAAGTTTTGATGTTAAGGCACTGTAAGAATGCAAGTTCTTTAAGTAGTCCATTACCGTTAAAAAAATGCTGTTAAACAAACAATTAAACAAAAGGTACATTTTGTCAGTAGAGATATAGGATGGAAGAAGTCTTTCAGCACTGGAGATCAACAGAGAGAACCACAGAAACAAACATTGAGGGGCTTGAGCTGCAGGAAATTCTCTCACCTGGAGGTTCAGAGTTCAAAATCTCCTCTCATCCGGCATTCCCTTCAAAGGGAAAGCTTTACAAGTCTTGCCTAAGGTGTGCGCGAGATAAAGGGTGGAGCTCTGGTCATTAAGGGAGGTTGTCTGCTGATCATTAGCCAGTGCTGTCTGTTGGAAAGGAAGTCCTGCAGACAGGTGAGGAGCTGACAGCTAATCCTTTCACTCCCACTATCAGAAGAATGACTCATCTTCACCGTGGACTGCTCACAGTAACAGGACATTGTCTTGCCTTGGTCCTTGGTGTGTTCCTGTTGCTGGAGGAACATAGATATGATCTAACAGGCTGTCCATTGGACACCCAAACACAAACCCCTTCTGAAAGGTAACTCTGTGCTGCAGACAGTTCCTTTTAATCTTTGTTTAACAGCTTCTGCACTGTGTGCGTGCGTGTGTGCTGCCCTAAGTGGACGGGAACTCCCCGCGCGTAAGGACTTTGGCACTTCAGAGATGAAAACTTGAAGAACTATTTAAGGAAACTGTGAGGTGAGGATCTCACTTCAGACACGTCTACATACACCCACACACATACACACACACAAGCACATAGACACACACACACACACTGTAGGGTTGTCTTGTCCAGTCTTTTTTATTCACTGGATTGCACCCCAGCCTCTCACCATATGTTGTATTGTGTAGATCTTCACTGAAGCACGAGAGCCTTGGCAGGAGTCAGTGAGTTGAGCAGGTCACCTTTATGTTATGTTGGGAAGTCTCACAGACTCTCTGCACGGAGATAGCGTTTGGTGTCCCAACTAAATAATAGGCCTGTAAGGTCCTAATACGTCTCCTGAAATCTGTCCTGCGACAGCTGATGGGTATCCCACAAAACAACCCTCCTCGTACCTTTCACAGCAGAAATAATGGACTTAATGGAAATTTCAAAGTGAGATTTCTGAATGAAGCAATGCTAGCTGGAGTGGGTCTGGACAACCAGGCTATTACCTGCTCCTGCACCTCCAGCTCCCTGTGTTGCAGCTTTTTCTCCAGTGCATGTCGCTGGTTGCCACCGTTTTCAATCTCATTCTCCAGGTTCTGAATGGAAGATCAACAGAAAGAGTCAGACTTGGGCGACACTACATTAACCTTCAAGCAGCCAAATGATGTAGGAGCTGTATGAAACTCTACAGTAAACAGTACACAAATAGTACAGAAGTAAGAACATTTCGGGGGAATGATGGAGAAAAATACACATCTCCTTTGTTTAAACTGCACTCTTTACAAAAAGAAAGGACTTGAAAGGAAGCCAGATAGATAGAGTCTAGGAACATCTCAACTTGACCTTGGAAACCAGTTTGACGAAACCTATCAAGATATTTGGATTTATTTTCTTACGATGAGATTGAATATTCAAAGTCGAAAGCACCCATCAACGACCAGATTCCCACACATCCTGCCAAGTGCAACTGCAAAAAGGTCCAGTTTTTCTGGGAACTGATTTTCTGAATGGGTTTCTGTACTGAGAGAGTGCGGGCTCCACTTCACCCTTGCAAGAGATGGCAAGAATGGTGCATCACACAAACCACTAGACATTTCTGATGGAGTCAGTGCAATAAAATGACACTGTAATTTGTTTAGTCAGGATTAAAGGCTTCTTTGAACAATCAAATCTTTTATACATTGCACATCAGAAATATGTTTAGCAAAACCACAATAAATGCACAGTCTTTAAATAAAAAGCACCAGCGATCTCATGGCTTTAACACAACCCATATGTTACATTTCACATATGGCGACATTCCTTCGTGATGGGAATTCTCTGCTACACAACACGGCACTCCGTGAGCCAGAGTGCTTTGATATCACAATGTTTTTCAGCGTTTCCGTGACTTGACAAAGAAAAAGCAACAGGATTTATTTACTTATTGATGGGTCGGAACAGATTTGTTTTCGTGGCCTGCTGTGCTTTCTTTGCGAGGATTCCGAATGGCCAGCTACCTACTTATAAAGAGTTCAACATTAATCAGACCAGTCAATAATTAACAGTGCTGCATTTGAACAATCCCACCAAACACGAAGGAACAGAAAAAGCTCTGTCTGTATTCAGCTCCCTATATCAGTCTGCAAACAGCAGCTCCCCTTTCCAGTGATAGCACCGGCACTCAGGTAGGCAATCTGGTAGTGAAAAACATCAGCAGGCCACTAATCAGCTCTTGGTTAGGCTGAACTATAAATATCGCCAACATGGCTGCTGTCCCTTAGACTTGAGCTTTGATCCCAGGAAGTGTTATGGCGGGCTATGGGATCTGGGTCTGAAATTCTCAGGATCTTAGACTGAGATAATTCTCTTAAAATCAGTCTTAATTTGGACAGTAATTTCCACAGCATTGAAAAAATTAAGGCTCTTTTCCAAAATGGCTACACAATGGTCTTAAGCCTAAGAACATGCAATATTTCGGGGAGTCCTCTTCTCCCCTTCGGTAAAATGTCATTTATAGTAAAAAAAAGCTTGCTCCAGGTCTCTGTTGTTCCTCCACCTCAACCATTGGTGGCTCCACCTTCGGAAACTTCCTCCATCATCATCTCTGTTTCATTCCGCCCGTTTCTACCTTCAAAGGTCATCCAAGAGCCTACCTTTTGATTGTGCCTACAGTCACCTCACTCCTAAGTCTCCGCCCCATCCCTTGCCCAGTGCCCGGGACATTCACTGTGAATTGTCCGAAATACTACCAGAGTGAAGGGCCCTATGTAAATGCGTATTGTTGCTGTTGTTATTGTTGTAAAGCACTCCAAGATGTTACTCTACGTGAAGAGCAATTTATAAATGCAAGTTACTGTTGCTCTGGATGGAAGGATATTCGCTAGTTATCAAGCCTGTCTTAAGTTTCCAGAACATTTATCACAGCTGCAGGAGTCTGATGTCTGAACCTAAGAAAAGATGCACAGCAGAACTGATGCAACATTTAGAGGATGCTGACATGTGGCAGACACAGGAAATAAATATGAATGGAAATCAAAGAGATGAGATAGATTCTTTTGTTGCCTGAAAAACAAACCTCGTAAGCAAAATGGAATTCCTTTCATCTCAAATTAACAAAAAAAAACTTTTCAGAGAAGAGCCCACATGAAAGTCATCTCAAGAAAGAGAGATGAGTGTGACCGGGGATAAGAGCTCAGAGCGGATAGCGGGGGCCTGGCAGAGCAGTCTGCAACAGCAAGGGAATGGAGGTTGGATCTTAAGAGAATCGAATGAAGGTTCCCACAGAACCTGCTGGAGATCTTCATGAGTTTTCAAGAGTTGGTGTGAAGCAGAAAAGGGCACAAAAGAACAAAAGAGGGCTAGAGAACTGGTCAGCTCCCCCGCACCTGCCAAACAGAGGCAGAATAAGGAAAAGATAACAGTGAATACTCAACATGTTTATTTTTGAGTATATGGAAAGCTACAAAGCATCAAACCTCATAGACCCTTCCATATTTCTTACCTTCTCAGTTCTCCTACTTCCCCCACCTCCAACGGTTATGTACCTCCTGCCTCAGGGTGTGTTGGTGCAAAACCAAATGGTGCTGGATTTCCATGATGATAACATTTCCCATATATTAAAGAGGTGTCAAACCTCTGCTCTTCACTCCTACAGCAGGGTGACCAAGATAGGAAACTCATGGGGGTGGGGGGGAGGAGAAGAATTAAAGCCGTGTTTGTTTCAAGCATTGGTGCTTCACCTCACTGTGTAACCGACATACCCACAGATTTCTATTACAGAACGATGTCAAGTAATAGCAGACGGAATTGTCTCAGGTTCCTGCAGCAATGTTATTGAAAAACCTGTAGCCTCCACTTGCTCGACAGATTAGATGTGTTTTTATTCCTCACTCTTTTTATTCCTCACTCAAAACCAGCCAACATCTGCAGGACTGATAAAGATGACGTCAAATTAACAGTTTCTTTAAAAGCAAAAGTGTTTTGTTAATGTTGTCAACAAGGAGGTATGTAAGAGCTTCTGTATAAAGAAGTTTGAATGTCGAGAACTGAAAGGATTTAGGGGTACAGACTAGAAAGGGAAGGTGTATGGTGTTAAACTGTACACTAGTGTGCATATTTGCAGAGTAATCTGAGCTGCTTCAATGAAACAAATAGAATGATCTCACATTCCGTCTGGAGAGCCACCTGCGGGAGGTTTCCGATAATAGTCACAGCTTCATTTATTTCTGATCACAAACATTTAAGAGGACCTGTGGTCACTTTGCAGGCTGTTTTTTGGAGAAATGCATAAGGCAGAATTTACATCTCTTGATAATCATCCCTCACATTTGCTTCCAGCAGTTTTAAAATGCTTGAAGGTCAATGGTATTTTGGTCGTGCTTCTCTGATCTCTATCTCAACACAGAATTACAGGCACCAGGTAAAAGGATTATTCATGATGCCTTCAGCGGTATTAAGAAACAGAATAATAGAGCAGAGAATATTCAATGGTTTAGAGCTTTTCTTCTCAGAGTGTGCCCTAGGATCTTAAACATAAGAGTCCAGCAAGAGTCTGACGTGAGCACCTTTCTTTCTGTGTAGAATGTCCAAAAGGCATTCCTAACAATAACAGCAGATTTCAAAATTCTTAAACAATTGCAGAAAACTCTGCAGCTTAATCTCCTCGTGGCCATTTGTGGAGCAAATAGCAGGCGCTACACTTGCTAGTAATTATCTGCAAAGCACTTTGAGATGTTTTGACATAATAAGGTACGTAAAAACCTAAGTTTTTTTTCTTCCTAAATGTAATTTAGTAGTATAATACAATAAAACAATTTTTTTCCATTCTTGATCAACTGCATGTTATGTAAACTTAAAAGCAAATGCAACTACCATATTAATAGCCATTGCTTGTTGTACACAATGGAATCAAACCACTTAAAGCAAACACTTTCAGGGGAGAAATGTTCACTTGGCAAAGGTCCAGGTCAGGAATGATTTGCAAGTCTTCCTGGCTGACCTCAAATTCAAATACACTGCTTAGAATCCAGGAACTTCAAGCACAGAAAGAGGCCATTCAGCCTATTGTGGCTGTGCTTCTGTATTAAGAAACAGAATAATAGAGCAGAGAGTATTGTGCTATACTGTACTAGCTGCAGAAATCTCTCATCCAATATCTCTTTTCTGTTCACATATCTTTAGATCTTCATTCTAAACACTTGTTTGGGCAGTTCAAAATAATAGCGCAACCCAATTTTGTTTTCAGTCAGCCGGGTGTCTGACACACGCGGAAACCCATTACCGTGTTTAAGATTCAATCAAACTGAGAGTTCCATGCATTCCCACCAGCACAAGGAAATTCTCGGGCAACCCAGTAACTTGTGGGTTCAGGTGCAGCCTGATATGGTGCTGAATCGTGCAGACTCAAAGATGGAAGATTTGACTAACACTCTGTGTCAAATGAGCTGACTTATCCAGGATTACAACAATTAACCAGTGTCCTGGGTTTGGGAGGGGGAAAAAATCAGTCTGGGTTCCTGCTTTTGACTCCTATCTAATGATCCCTGCTGGAAGGTATGTCGTGTCAGCCTGTTAGTGCAGGAATGTAGGGAAGATGGTGTTTGCCTTTGACCTCTGCCATTTATTTCTGGTTGAGTTTGTCACCACGGAAACCTGTATTGTGTTTCTCTGTCCCTTACTGAATTCCAATTCCCCGAGTGCTTTATATTTACCACAGATTAGACCTGAAGTGAAAATAATAATAATAATAATCCGTTGATACAGCACAAATAATGGCAAAATGTCACAACGTGCTTCACGGGAAATTACTGTCACAAGTAGTGACTGTGCATTTCTAAGTAAACGTAGACAACCACTTACATATAGCAAAGTCCCACAAACAGCCATAAAGTGAATGAACTGATCCTTGACAATGACCTGATCAGGCAGACCGGACTTCAGTTTAATGTTTCAACTGAAGGATAGCACCTCTCACAATGTACTGGTCCTCTGGAGTGTCAGCCTAGTCTGTGGGCTCCAACTGCCAAACACTCTTGGGATCCACTGCCATTATCAGAGGTGCTGCCTGTGCAATCATCACTTGCAATACCAGTGCAATGCTGGGTGTTAAATATCCCCTTGGTTACCTTAATAACTCTATCATTATCTCTAATCAGCAGCCTCTTCTCATCTTCAAATCTTCCCACAGCTTCTTGGTGCTGTCTCTCCGCAGCCAGCTGCTGACGACTGTTCTCTTCCCTCAAGGTTGAAATGGCAGCCTGAAGCTCAGCTATAGTCTGAAAGGAAAACAATAACTGAAAATCCCTGTTGCTTAAACATAGCTATTTGCTTTAGTTTGAAAATGCTTTGAAGCGCGATAATAGCTTCAGAAATATTTGAAACTGTATTTATCAGCTGCCAAACGCGGAACAGATTCAAACTTTCTCAGGATCTGTAATTGTAGTGGAGTTTGCAGAGGATGGGAAAGTGCATGCTCTCTCAGCACCGTGAGATTCCACATTAACAGGTACTGCACGCATAAAGTGGCCGCAGAATATTGTTGGTACAGACCAGGCTTTCCTTAAAAAAAGGAATCCTATCTTTCAGCTCACTTTGGTTCAGAGAATTTTTTTATGAACCCGATGGTAAAATAATTGCTCTAGATCTGAATCTAGTAATGTCATAAAAGCAATTTGTAAAACTAACTTCAATCAAGGAACCTTAATAGAAATGGCGAACTGGTACTCTGAAATACCCAGCCAAAGGACACGGTAACACATCTCACCATAACCCAATACCCATCCACACTCTGCTTGGTTTACAGTGCTCCTATTGTTCTGGCTGTGTTTAAAACAACAGGGAATGGACAAGATAGAAGTGGCCACTTTTTTACCTCCAAGAAAAGTAAAAACAAGGTGCACATCCTTAGCATTAGAGTTAAGCCGGTTAGAAGGGAATTCAGAAAACATTTCATTCTATCCTCTGACAAATGAGAGTTTTAACCCCAACATGGGCAAGCGAGGCTGGCACACGTGGGCACTTTGCTGCCAAAGCAAAGTTAGCGACAGGGGCACAGACGCGAGGATAGCAGTGGTGAGCAGCCTGAGGAGCGGATTGGGGAAATGTCTACGAGGAACAGTGACCCACCTGCTGCAATTTGCTCTGCAGGATGAATGGAAACCTCTGTGGTATGTGGTATTTATGAAGAATTATTAGCTGTGATTGATGACTGATGCCATTTACATACTGTGCGAGCTATAAACCCATCAAATTCCCAAGGTACTGTTACTATAAATTTACCAGAAAAAGATCTGTTAGGAAAAGCAGGAAAAAAAATCTAATTAAACCAACAAGTTAAAGCTTTCTCTTTTATTGAAATTCCTGATATATCTTCCAAACCGGCCTGAGATATGAAAACCACTGGTGATTCTGCCTGTCAGCATTGCCTAGTACTGTACTGTATATGGTTGTCAGCCAGTTCATTAATCATTACCCAGCTGCACAAAGAGGAAAGCTATGGAGCCGGTATTTGACGTCAACAAATCCATTCAATGTTAAAAGGTTGTATCTGGACATTACGATTCATTGTTTAACTATCTTTAGCAGTAGAGTACAGCTTCATCTGGCACATACAAACCGTCTGATGGGGGTGGGGTCGGGGGGAATGAGCATTCAGTCCATCATGTCTGTGACATGCAGGAAGAAGACTAAGGATTAGACATGTGTCTGTGACAGATTTTCAGGTCAACAACAACAATTTACACTTGAGTAGGATGAACATCTCAAAGCATTTCACAACGATGGGGATCAGCAGGGAGGAACTGAGGGGGAGTTTGAAGATGTTGACAAAAAGTGGCCTAGGAGATAGGTCTTTTAAGAGTTATCAAAAGGTGCTACATAGAATGATACAGCCTGGAAACAAGGCCATTCAGACCAACTTGTCTGTGCCAGTTTTTATACTGCACACGAGCTCCAACCCCTCCTAATCTCGTCAAGATGAAGGGATTTTGGGATAGAATCCAAGAGAGCGTGGGTGTGGTAGCTAAAGGCTCAGACATGGTTTGTGGGATTGAGGATCGAGCAGGAGACCTGAGGCGGAGGAGTGCAACCGGAGAAAACACCTGGACAAGGAGCGTGAGTCACAGTTGTTGGATTTCTCGAAAAGTCGATTTCTCGAAAATATTCAGCCCTACAAATCTGATCTTGTGTGCGTTTGCACGAGAGACAAGAGGGTGGTGTTGGTACTGGGGGAGACGTGCTGACCTGGGGAGATAAGTGGTCCTAACTTGGCAGCAGCACTAGGGAAGGAAGTGGTGGAATCAGGAAACGGTGGTTGATAAGAGGAACGATTGTGAAGGGGCTATATTGGTAGCGAGTCTGCTCCAAGTAAAGATCAGTTCCTTTTCTCTTTCCTGTAAGATTTATCTGCTGCAGTATTTCTCTATTTACTTAAAATGGTCTAAATTTAGGAATATTACCTATCTCTTTTCTGCTCATCACCCAGCCACAGAACTTCACACCATTAGCAGACAATAGTAAAACATGTTTATACAGTACAGCACCTTTCAAGTCAGGGTGATGATTGAAAGTGCTTTACACAACTGCGACTGACTGGGAGCCTGAGCTGGGGGTGGGGAAAGCAGAGCTGGGAGGCGAAAGATGGCCAAAGGCACAGTCAGAGAGAGAGATAGGTCTTCAAGCTCAATCATTACATCATCATGCTGGGAAAGTCAACACTGCTTCCTTTCAAATAACAAAAGCTAGATACCACAAGCCGGGTACAGCCTGTACTTAACTTTTGGGCTGTAATTTAAAGTCTGCCTGAAAACTGGCTTAATTTGAGATCATGTAAAAATTTGAAAATAATCAGTTCGATTAAAACAGCTTCCAAATGCAGACCGAATTTAAGAATTTTCCAAAATTTGCACAGCTACAACACAAATTACATTTATACCTTTCATGTCGGAAAGATGTCCCAAACCGCTGTACAATCTTCATATTAAAGGAATGGTCTTAAGACTAAGTGTAAGAAATTTCAGGCTTCTGAATTCAACAGCTTGTCAGCCCACAATACAAGCTAATTCCAATTCACCAATAACTATATTGAGTGTTCTTCAATTTTTCATTGTGCTGTGGGAAGCAAAGGCAGGGCAGCAGGCACATAAATGACAAAGTGGGGTTCAAAGAGCCTTTGACCAGAAGAAATGCTGCAATTTTCCTGTTTTACGGCCATTTGTTCCCATTTGAGCTTGAAGCTGAAGAAGATTTTTCAATGTAGACCATCTTTCAGTCAGGCTCCCAAAATAGCAACAGCCACTTGGCACTTCAGCCCTTTCATGCCTGGTAACTCAACAATTAGCTGACAGGAAGTGTTTAATTCAAGGAGTGAACGAGACAGAGTTTTATATTCTTCATTGGGGCCAGTGCCCGTTGGCAGATCCATGATAGAAAAATATACCCAGGAATGAATAACTGTGCTGGGACTGATTGAGGGGCTTAAATGAAGCCTCAGATCACTGGAGTATTTAATAAAGGGTAGCTGCATCCCGACAGCCACTCACTCAACTCCTACATCTTCAGACCATCGTCTAAAAATTTAAGATCGTATAGCATTGTGGAATATTTTTAAACTCAGTTTTAATTTGGAAGCCTGAGGTCTTTTTAAGAACTGTGAAAACTGCCTCTAAATGAAGACTTTTCAATAGCAGAAGGATAGGCACGAGAGCAAACTACCAGCACAGGCAAGAGGCAAGTATGAAGGGTTTCAAAGAGGAAGTAGACAAGCCCTGGAAATAAAAAGGATTCAGAGTTATTAGTGTGGAAGGATATTTGGGGAAGCTGGATGGGTGGTTGGATGGGCTAAACACTGCCTGCTGGTTGGTGTCCTATCCATTCATTCTGGCTTCTCGAATTTTGAACACAAGTCTATTCCTGTTTATTTTGAAAATGTACCAAAGCTCTTTTTGCATACACAGACCATCAATTTCTAATCAATGCAGCAAATAGTAACCTCACAGCTTTGTCTGAAAGATAACAAAATCAGTGGAACGACCAGCACTAGCCGGAGAAGATGATTGATGTTCTTCACTTAACGAGAAGACGTGAAAAGCACTGTATCAAATGCAAGGATTAGTATTATTATTGTTATTATAACCTCAATTTGGTTGGAAAGTGCAAGTTTCCCTGAGCTAAGCCACATCAGAGTGGTGTGAAGCCTTGCTGGCTTTGATCAAAACGCAAAATACTCCAGATGCTGGAAATCTGAAAACAGTGTTCTGACGAAGGGTCGTGCACCTGAAACGTTGACTCACTTTCCTTTCTCCATAGAGGCTGCCTGATCTGCTGAGTGTTCCCAGCAACTTCCGTTTTGTTCCCATGGTTTTAATGGTGGGTGGATGGGTTAGCAGCAAGGTATAAATGAGATGCAGATCCGTGGTTTAATTTGGGAGAAAGAAAACAGCTCAACACGTTTCCGGTGCAAAAACCACACGATTGCAAAATGTACATCAGTTGCATGGCTGGGAGGGGAGGGTTAATGTACTGTGGGTTCAGTAAGGATGGCTAGAGCAAGACCCTAAATGGAATGTTCCTTGTGTGGGAGTTGGGAGTGAACATTTTAAGAGAGCGTTGAGAGCTAGATTGGACTAATTTTGTCATTGGGAGAACCACATGAAAGCTACTAATGGCCCACTATTACTATTGCGTCAACGTTCTTAGTCATAATTATATCACATTGTGGATACACAGACGTACCATTTAGCCTGCAGGAGGAGGAGGAAAGCTTTTTTGTTGTATTTTGGCACTTCAACCCATTTGCCTGCTCCTGCTAGAGTTGGCATTTTCACCTCTTAATTAGTAGGGCACATTGCTGCTGCCTTTCAGAAGGATTTCTTTATTTCTCAGTGGAGTGAGCGGCTTCTTTCCTGTTAAGAATTTCACTCCCATTTAGCCTTTGCTTTTCTGCCTTGACACCAAGCCAGCAGCACTTACCAGCGATGCTAGAGTTGCAGTGCGCTGCTCTGGATTAACAATTGTTTGCGAGTGGATGTACTTTACTGACCCTAGCTGGCTCTGGACTGGTTGAGGCACGGTTAGAAATAATAGCTGTGATGTTTAGAACAAGTGACACAGCTAGGTGGCGGGGCAGGTAGCACACCAGTGTCTGAGCTCATGCCAGACAATATCAGGTTCAATCCCAATCTGCACAGCAATCCTCTCCCTCCAACCAGTGAAGTCTAAAAATATACATGAGGGAAACAAAATGCCCGTGAGAAACAGAGAGAGAGAGAGAGACAAACAGGATAAAGAAATCTCTGGCGGTGTTTGCAAATGGATTATCCCATCCTCCTGTGTGTGTGTGTGTGCGCGCGTACGTCTGGATGGATGCGCACAAGTAGATGCTCGTATTTATGCGTAATGATAATCCTTGATATAGCACCATATTGTGTTGACAAAGCGTGTTGACTAATTTTACTATGAAGTGTAGTGACTGTAGGCGAATGTGTGAGTATGTGTGCATGGGGGGGGGGGGGGGGTGGTTGCAGGTTTAAACAGTGAATACAACTGTAAAGCCCCAGCCCTCGAGGCGTACGTGCATGGGCGTGCGTGTGTGAGCAAGCGCGGAGTGCGTGTCTGAGTGAAATCTAAGCGATGAGCAGCCTCAAGAGAGAACGCAGGAAGGACACGACCAGAAGCAAAGGACACCCAGTGCACGTGCTGAGCGGTTGGCACGCTTAACCGCTCTCAATTAAAAGGATATGCAAAACTGCTTTGGGAAAGAAGGAGTTAAGCCTCTTTTAAGCGCAGGGAATGTTGCAATATGCAAAGAATCTGCTGAACAAAAGGCTGCACCACCCACTTAATCTCATTAAGATACTATTTTGTAATTCAAAATCTTGGCGGGTCGGTTGGTAGATCGGGCAGAACCTCTCTCTCTCTCTCTCTCTCTCTCTCACTAGCACTGCGCCTCTCTGACCCATTCCGGTGCAATGTCCTTCCTCTCTGTCCTGGCTTGAGACAGACAAGACTGTCAGGAATCAGATCTCGCCACACCTTTTGTTACTGCGCTAGAGCGGGTGGCCAGCTTCGGCCCGTTTCTGTAAAATTTTAATTAAAACAGCTGCCTTTTTTTTTAATGTGGTGGGGCCACAGAGGCAGATGGCAGCAGCAAGGTCGGGGCTTTACTGTCAACTTCACTGATTCCATCTACTGTAGGACAACAGTGTAGGACACAGAGGAGAATGTTTGGCGTGTTTGAGCATCTTCAAATAACACGAGGGTCTCACTCTGTCCCTCAGCAACTGCAGCTTCTCAAGCGCTAAAGCACAAAGCTCACATTCGCAAATCGCTGAGTATTTTCTAAGCGTTGCTAATTGTTTTACTTTCACTACGGTTAGATCATTAGTCCTTGGCAACTCTATTTTTAGCACAGCAAACATGTTATAAAACCTTACTGTTTGCTGTCCGCAGATATTTTGAAAGGGTGGTGGTGGTGGTGGGGGGGGTAGGTTGAGAATTTGGTAACGCACATTCACACAAGCTGTGAGCTTGACATGGGTTGTTGCAGTTTCTGAAATCTCTGAACCGTACCTGTGAAGATTTTAAAAGCCTCTGGCTGTACTCTTTATCAATCTGCTTCAACCTGCTGCTGGTCTGTAAAAACAAAAGGAGAAATGTAAGATGAGATGAGGTGGGGGTGGGGGGGGGGGGGGGAGAAAGAGGAGAAGAGACCGACGCGCATAGACACTTGCTGTTGACCCAGAACCTTGGCACCTAATCAGTATGCCTATCACTTAGGATCTAGGCTCAGTGCCAGCTCCAACGCCCCTTCATGGCAACCAAAAGCACAGGGCTTTGCTTTGATCTGCATCCAAGCAGTCATCACTTGAAAGGAAAAAATCTACCTCTGCTGCCAATTATTAGAAAACATAAAGGGCTTTCTGGATGAAAAATGACAGCGTAAAGTTTATCAGAATGACTTCACCTTTAGTAAAAACAGAAACACATGCTCCGATCAAGGCTGTGAAGGTACAATACGACACGTATGTTTTCGAGTGCCAGATGATGTTTTAAGAGCTGGGAGAGAGGGGGGGGGGGGGGGGGGCGGCAGAGAGGGGGAAAAAAAAGGGAAAGAAAAACCTGCAGTAAGAAACTGCAAAGCAGAAACCGCCCAAGGGAAGAGACAACAGCATTCTCCACCGTGGAACAGGGATGCAGCCTGCACTTGAAACTTCAAAGGGTTTGCACACTTAATGTAAATGTGGCCATTAGCAATAAAGTACTCCACCTTTCTGCAGTGAGACCATTAAATATGATTACTGCTAACATTATTGCAGTTTAAGCAGAGAAGGATCTGACAATTCAATGCATTCAGAGAAAATATGTATGCAAAACTAAACTCAATTATGGATTTAATTTTTGATTGAACTGAAAAAGGCAAAATTACTTTCCCAACACATTTGTCTGTTTTAAACTTACATTTACTTCAGCCTTTTAAGTCCCTTTCATGCCAGGCACCGTCACAGGCACCTGATGAGAGTGTGGGAAGCTGGTGTGGGGAGGGGGCTATTGTGTGGGGGATGATTGAATCTGCTCTGCACCTCTCCCTTACTGCACAATAGGGACACCAGGGACCTGGGAGCAAGACAGCTGCTTGTGTTGACTGGTGTGTGTGTGGTGTGTGTGATGCTGCAAGTAGAGAAAGTCAAATTTGTTAGATCTCTCCACACCATACATACACCTTGACAGAGGGCTGGGAGTTTCATGGAGGGAGGATTCCACCCCCTGCCTTACATTTGATAGTGAAGCACTTGTACAAACTGTCTGCCTACTCACATCGCAGTAACGCTAACTCATCATTTCCCTTGGTCTCTTTTTTTTTGCAAAGACAAGCAGTGAAATTGATCACCAGTTATGATTGCATAATAATTTACATTTGAACTGGAAGCACTGCAGGAATTGGTTGGTTACTCAAGTTGTTTTAAGAGCTAGTTTAGAACAGGATGTATTTTCATGAGCCAAGCATTCGTTTTACACTGTAATCGGAGCATCTCTCTATTTCAGCTCTTTCAAACCTTTCAGAGCTCCACGCTAGTCTTCTCTATATGGCATCCCAATGATGAAACGTTGCCAGGAATATGGAAAGTAACTCTAACTGTTCCAGTGTCTTGTTTTTTTCAGGCTTTGATTACACAGGAAAGTTTAGCAATTCACTGTGGTGAATCTTTGCATCACTGACTCATTCATTCCAGGTGGCAGGGCTGCTGGAGTACATACAATACAAAGCCTCCGGTATGAACTGACTGCATCAGCTGAGAAGGGAAACCGGTTTGGCAATCAGTGAGTGAGAATTCTGGCCCAGCAACTCAAGTGACAGAGGGGCAAGAGAGGGAATCCACCCATATTCATTCAACAGTTGTTCTCGGTCTTGCTGGCTTCCCGAGGCCTGAAATTGCATCCATTCTTAATCAATAGAAATATTTTGTACTATAAGTTAAGATGAGGCAGAATGGAAAATTCTTAAATGCAGTTTTAACCACTAGTGTGGGTAGTTTCTTCACCTGCCCATCATCCTATTGCTAAAAATCCCTCTTGATTTGGAAGACATTTTTCTGACGTTCTTAAAATAATTGGCTTCCAAATCTTAAATTTTGAGACAAAATGGTCTCACAAGCTAAGACTGGCTGGAATTTCAGACCTATGGGCTAAAAGTAGCTGTGAGCTTCAAGGCTGAGCACAGGTACCGTACTGTTGACCCGGCCATGAGCAACTGCACATGCACCAAACATCAGAAGGTCCAACCTGCTCCACTCACTGTGTGATCATGGCTAAGTACTAAAGCACTGATGGAAGGCAACTTACATGAGAGACCTGCAATTTAGAGTGGGCGTGCTCCAAGCATTTTGTGCAGATGATTAAGCTGCTGTGCAAAGTACAGTTCCTACAGTTTATATGGCTCCAATTTTGCTGCAGAACAGAGACGAGTGAAAGGAAAGTGGCTATTTGCAGAGCGCAGTGACTGCCACTCAAGATTGCTCAGCACATTCACACTGGAAGGTGCAGTGATCACAATGATTTGATCATTCACATTTCTGTGCTGACTCTATGCCTCCAGCCTGCAAGCATCAAAGTGCAGAGTGTTTCTGTACAAAGTTGAGGATGTGCTTTTGTAATAATAATAGAACAAATTATTGAACACAAGTCAAGGGTTGTAGATGCGGAGTAGGGAGACGGCAGTGAGCTGGCCGAGCTGAATGGCTTTTCGTCCGTGATATCAAAAGGTGCCCCCATTTGTCTCAGCTCATTGCACTCTCACCTCTGAGTCAGGAGGTTTTGGATTCAAGATGCATGTCAGCAATTGAACCCACAGTCCAATGCAGTGTTGCTTTGTGGAGGTGTCATTCTTTGGCAAGTCTGCCTGCTCATAACACCAATCAAAACTACTGGGCCACAATTCTTTAGATGATTTAGCTATTCCCTTCATAGATCCTGCAGGACCAAAATGGCTGCCACATTTGCCTACAGTCAACACACTTGACAGAAATCATGTATGAAGCACTTTGAGACAGTTTTGATGTTAAAGGCACTATGTCAAATGTAAAGATTATTAAATTATTGGAAAATTGGTTAGAAAGAATAGCTCCTGGATTTCGGGTTCACTTAGTAAAAACATTGGAGAAGTCTGCCACTTATACATTTCCTGAACTATTTTCATAAGACTGATATTCCTTCCTCCAGGCTCTGTTATGATGTGAATTGACCTGTCAGGGTCATACATTCTGCGTGTCAAGCTCTCTTGCCAGAAAGTATTAAAAAAAGAATCACCGAAGGAAGCTAGGGAGCAGGAACGCTCCAAATCTCTCCATCTGCAGCTACTTAGCAAATGCAGGACGGCATCCTCAAAACAAGTGCTTGTACAGCAAAATATTTATAATGTGAAAGCATTTCACACCTCATGAATGGTAGCCAAATGCAGAAACGTTTCATCATTTATATCATGCATAGAAAGTATGCTAAATCCACTCTAAATCACTCAATTTGCGGTCATGCCACAGAGCAGTAAAATGCTTATGTTGACGCCTCTGAGCAAACATGGAACATGCTGACAAGCTGCCAACGCAAAATCAAGCTTTAAAAAAAATAAAATGGTATTTCAGTATATTCCCCAAACAAAATTTCCCCCAAAGGCTGTAATCTAATCTTGGGATTCGGGTGATGGATATAGAAAACGATTCAAACTGGATCACCTGAGCCTGCGATTAGATAGCGATCTTGTAATTCAGACCCAGACATTATTGGTTAGTTTAGTTACACTTTATCTAGCGTGTGTCGCCTGAATCGCTGAGCTGTAGTAAAGATTGCCCTTGTTTACCTTTGGGGGCAGTCATCAACGGCAAGGGTGTGGTCAAGCTGCAGGTACTGGAGCCTGTGATCCCAGCAACGCCACACACACATGACCAGCAGTTCCAAAGTGAACACAATCCGAGTCACCAGGTTCATCGTGCTAATCACGCAATGCAGTTTTATAATAGGAACCTTCCAGCTTCACTGTGACATTTCAGGTAATAAAGTAATGAAAAGATCAATCATACTAGTGACGGCCGTTTGATTGAACCCATTATAACTGATCCAGTGATACGCTTTGAGATATTCTCCTGATTGTGAAAGGCTCTATATCAAATGCAAGGATTATTATTAATAATCATAAAGGACAAGAGATTTCTCCTTTCTCCCATACACATATCAAAGGTACTTTTGCGGGAAAAGGTTGTCTGAAGGGCAGTGTTGAGAAAAACTGCCCCAAAACTGACTACAGCTGACTTCACTTTGTTATAATAGAAACAACAAGTTTCTGTGGAGTTTAAGCCTGAATATTCCTTCATTTATAGGATTCTGTGCCAAACCTGTTATATTGCAGGCCAAACCCCTTTCAGTCGGGATTGCCTCACCATTATTAATTATTTTGCTGGTTAATACATCCATTGTATTGGAAGCATCTCATTAGAAAAGAAACGGCACGATTGCAACCTATTTATTGGTTCAAGGATCCAAGGACTGCTGTCTGAAAGGTTCTATAAAAGATTACAAGTGTGTTTAGAATTTCCTGAACTTCCTTAAGCTCAAATACGATGACATTTATGACTGAGCCGGGCAGTCACTGATACAGTAAGTAGCAGGTTTACAGCTCTGAGCAGGACCTCATATCCGGTGGGGGTGGGAGAGCACACAGTTTATTATCTTTTATACAGTGTGATTTCAATCTTATATTTAGTGTTTGCAGAAAGACAAAAGATCTAGGTGACAGCGTAGCATGGTCTTTGATGTTAGCTGTTGAAAGTGTTTTTGGGTTCCATCTGTCCACTGATACTGGATTAATCTAGTGCTTCATTTGCATCATCTTTTGAATGAAATTGACAATAAGTGAGCTTTGGTGGCACAACTAGGGCAAAGATGTCTCAATATTTTCTCCCTGAAACTGGAACTCTCTCTCCCAAACTGGAACTCTCTCCCCCAAAGAGCTATGGATGCTGGGTCAATTGGAATTTTCAAGACTGAGGTCGACAGATATTGGTTAGGTAAGGGTTTCAAGGGATATGGAGAAAAATGGGGAAATGGAGTTGAGGTACAGAGCAGCCATCATCTGAGGGGCTGAA